CCACCCTAATCACAAAATCGTGATTAATTTACACTACACCACCTCGTCGTTCCATGTGCACTAGAGGCCGCCCTTGAAGCAGTCACACTGGAAACAAACACACCCTGGTTCCCCATTTGTGCGGTACCTGCTGGCAGCCATGCGATCCTGTAGGCCGACAACCGGCCAAAAGATGTCGGGCTGTGGTCCAGTGTTTGGGACTCGAGGGACCGGCCTGGGGCAGGGGTGAGATGCGAGCACGCGACCGCCGAGTTTTGAAATTTAAACTTTTGATCGGTGCAGAAAGGCACCCCCCAGGATCGATCATTGGCACAGCCTCCAAAGTGGACATCGGTCTGTGTGTACTCCGACACGCGCGTGTGTGCCGGACGGTGCAGTTTTGCTTCGCTGCGAGCTGTTTGCTGTGGTTTTGGCTTGCGGATACTGCCATGTCCGAGGCGGACATTGGTCTGTGTGTACGCTGACGCGTGTGTGTATGCTGCTTCACGAAGGACACAGAGTTTGCCGCCATCTCTCTGGAGGGCTCTGCATCTGTCTCTTATACACATCTAGATGTGTATAAGAGACAGTGGCTGTAGAAGCGGGACCAGGGCAGGGTCGAGCCGGGGGGGGGGGATCGGTGCAGTCGAGGCGGGAATTGCAGATGCTGCAAGGTCGGGATGGGGATGGGGAGGGCGGGGTCCGGAAGTTTAGGAAGGGGCAAGGTAGTAGCTCGGGATGGCGCAGGGCGGGCTCAGTGGCGGGACGGGAGATAAGTCGGTATGAGGCGGGGTCGGAGTCGAGATGGTTAAAAAAACGGGATCAGCGATTCGGATGGGAAGGAGGAGGGAGATAAGGCAACGAAGAGGGGGAGAGAGGAGGTTGAGACACGAGAAAAAAACGGGACGGGGTGAGGTCACTGGGCCGTTGATCAGCGATACAGATGGGAAGGAGGAGGGAGATAAAAGAATGAAGAGGGGGAGAGAGCGGGAGGTTGTGGCACAAGAGCAAAAGAACGGGGGGGGAGGAGTGGGGGGGATATATAGAGCAGTGGGGAGACTGTAGATCCTTCACCGGGGGATTGCGCTCCTCCTGTAGTAAGTCGCTGATCTGGCTTCTCCTCGCTCTCCCACTCTGCTATTCCCCCACCTCTCCTTTCATCGTCGCCGCTGCACTCATCTCTCTCCCTCCCCGATTCTTTCTCTGGTCGCCTCGTCTCTGTCTTTCTGTTACCCCTTCAGCGCCTCCCTTCCTCATCCACCGTGTTGCCTTCTCCTCCGTCACCGTGTCGTGTCCTCCTTCTTCGTCTCGTCGCTTGTCTTTATCAGCCGCTCACTCACCTCCCTCCATCATGTCGCATCTTCCTTCCTCACCGTGTCTTGTCCTCCTTTTCGCCACGTCGCCTATCTTTCGACCGGTCAATCTCTTCCCTAACTCTCGACAACTCGCACCTCTCTGCCCATGGCCAAGCTATGGTCGTCGCTGCACGAGGCAGGGGCATAGTCTGGTGCACGAGAGGCGATCCTCGCGTGCCGAAGCAACACCGAGGGCCGCGTCTCGTTCCTGCGATCCCAAGCGGGCCTGCCGCTCCTGACCGACGATTTCTGGGACCAAGCATACTTAGAGTTGTTCGAAATGCTGGACTGCAGCCCAAGCCTACAACAGACCTTGGAGCATGGGCTGGCCCAGTCGGCCAGTT